AAAAAAAAAAAAAAAAATCCTTCCAATGAGACCTCAATTTCTAATGTTAGAGAAAGACTTTTTTCCCCTAGGAAAAGGTAAAAAAGTCCGAGGATACTTGCTATACCCATAATCCCTACCTACCGAGTTTCCCCAAATCAAGTAGCACTATGCAAAAGAACAGAAAAGAGTAGAATTTAAGTTAAAAAAAAAGTTCCTGAATTGCGACTGTAGTGGAAAATGTCTGCTATTCTAACCTGCAAAGACAAGATGTAACTTCTTAATCATGGTTAAAGCAAGATCTTTAAAAATTACAGGTAGCATCTGACAAGTACATATAAAAAAACATCTGTTTTTTAAAAGCTTATATTTAAAAAAGAAGGTCTTTACTACATGGAGCTCAAAACATCATTCACAATTGTAGAATATTCTGTTGGACTAATAAATTATGATTTACCTTACCATTTATAATTTAGATATTTTAGTTTTTTAAAATTTTTTGGGTATGGGGATTGAACTCAGGACCCTGCACTTGTGAGGCAGGCATGTGCCACTGAGCTAAATCCCTGGCCCTTTTAGTTTCACCTTTGTTTTTTTATTTTTGGTACTGGGGCTCGAACTTGGGTCCTTGTGCTTGAGAGGCAGGTGGTGGAACCACTGAGCTAAATCCCCAGCCCTCCTTTAGTTTGCTTTAAGCTGTTTTCACAAACATCAACAGTGGTAAATGCATTCATTTCATGTAGCTTTTTACCTGTCCTAGTTACTTGAATTTATTCCCAAAAGTAGGAATGTAACATTAAAAAGTTTTCTTACTTTAAATTAGGAATAATATTACACTCTGCAACATATATTTATAAAAGAAAGAAAAAAACTGTGGTGAGGCAAAGTTGATGTATAGAAGAAACAAAATCAGTTAATGATGAATTGATAATAGTGAACGCTGGATAAATGAACTTGGGGAATTTTTACAATTCTACTAGCAAACATATCTGACATTATATAATAGTAAAGTTACTGTTATCACTTTTCAATTAAAAATTTTCCTCTATTCATCTCGAACTCTTAATAAGACTATATAACAATCAAAATTTACAAGGTCTTACAAAATATTCTTTTACTTATCTCAAAGTATGGGCCTTGGGATAGGACCATCATCACTGCTTGGGAACTTATTAGAAGGGTAAAGTGCTTTTCCCTCCTCCTAATTAAAAATACTGTAATCTTGATCCCTGAGCTGGGGGTATAGATCAGTGGTGGAGTGCTTGCCTAGCATGCTGGAGGACCTGGGTTCAATTCCCAATACCTTGGAAACAAAAGCAAAACAATAAAAACTTCCAGAAGGCACTTCAGCCAAGAAGGTATTAAAACAGTCAATAACATAAAAAAGGTGTTCAAATTTACTTATCAGAGAAGGGAAAATTAAAAGACTAAGACGATTATTTCTATCATCCACTAGACTTGCTAAAATGAAAAAAATGAAACAAGACAGACCAAGTATAGATAACGATCTTCTGCAGCTGGAACTCATACTGGAGTAGGCAAACTGATCACAGTACTCTGGGACCTACATGGCAGCACAGTTATATCTCAGTGTCTAGGGAGGACTGGTTCAGGATCCTTAGGGATGGGGGAGGGACCAAAATCTGACGATGCAAAAATCCCTTACATAAAACAATACGGTATCTACATGTAATCTATATATATCTTCCCACATACTTTAAACCATCTCTGGACTACTTAATAACAACCAGTACAATGTAACTGTCACAAGAATAGTTATTCCACTGTGTTGTTTAGGGAATAATGACAAGGAAAAGTCTGTCCAGTGAACACAAACCATCAAAAGGCTTAACTATAAGGTACATGAAAAGGATATGAAGCGAACAGTGCTCAAACAAGAGCTGGTGAGAGATGGTGGATCTATGAAATGGCAGGTGGCTACAGAAGGCTGGGCCCACATGTCCTCTCACTTACATGATATATGCAGCAAGCTCAAGTTTTGCTTTTTGGCCATTTATATAATTTCCCCTTCCCCAATATTTCTGATCTATGATTGGTCGAATAAACAGATGTGGAACCAGTAGGATATGGAAGGCCACCTGTACCCACTACAGCTGAACATACGGATATGTATAACCTAGCAACCCTTCCTTTCCTAGGTATTTCTCCAAAAGAAAGGCATACACATGCTCACTAAAAGACATGCTCAATAATGTTCAAAACAACCCTACTCAAAATAGCCTGAGATATTTTATTTGCATATCTGAGGCAATATGTACAATTTCATACTTTTACTTTTTTCCATTTACATTTTGAGCATTTTCCATGTCATTTAAATTATGATTTCAATGGTTACACAATACTACAAGGTATGGATAAGTCATACTTTATTAACCATTCCTTGAGTAAGACATTTTTGAACTGTTTCAATTTTGTTATTTCTAAATACTTTTAAAGTAAACATTCTAATATATCTTTTCTCTATCTTCAGTTACGTCCTCGGGCTAATTTCCTTGGAGAGGACTTAGTGGACTAAAAGATACTCTTCCCAGAAAGATTCTATCAATTGAATTCATATTCCTAGTCACAGTATGTTCAAGAAGCCACTCCATAACACCTCTGAAATAGAAGTCCAGGTAAAACACGTTACTTTGTTTAATGATACTAGGGAGAGTTAATATTTCTGCATTGCTTATTATGTTAAAGATCTGGTTCCCCTCAGCTTGATGCTAATGGGAGGTGGCACATTTTAGGTCATTTGGGGGAGAGACCTTGAAGGGGATGTGGGAGCCTGGCCTCCTACTTCCCCCCTTCCACTTCCTGGCTACTGGGAGGTGAGCTGCTCATTCCACCATGCATCCCTGATGAGATGTACTGGCTCGCCACAGGCTGAAACACAAACACAGCTTGTGCTCTGTGTCTAGATGTCCCCTCAAAGCCTCATGCAGCCTTTTTCCAAGGTGGCAGAATCTGCAATATGTGATGCTGGGATTAAGGGCATGTGGTTACTAAATCACTACATTTGAGTGACTGGTTTGGCACTGTCCTAATCCTGGTAGCCTGGATGGGATAAAAGGGGCAGAAAGACGCTGTTAAGGTCCCTTGTTAGTTTTGTGACCATGAAGAACTGTTGCCCCTCTGCCACCCTATCTTGGAGCCAGCCGATTATGGATTGAAACCTCTACAAACTGTAAGCCAAATAAACCTTTCTTCCTAGAACCATGGGTGTTGGATATTTTGTCTCAGCAAAAGAAAAGTAACACAGCCCCTTAGTCAGGTCAAAGGATCTCCAAAATTGTGAGCCAATTAACACTTTTCACTTTGTAAGCTCGTTATTTTCAGGTGTTTGCTACAAGTAATGGACAGATAACACACTTGCCTTAATCTTTGTCTAGTTTTCTAATGGACAGTCTGTTTCTTACTGATAGAGCTTAGTGTTAAGATTATTATCCCTCTGATGGGGCCAGGGATTTAGCTCAGTGATGCTGCCTGTCGCAAGCGCCAAGGTCCCGAGTTTGATTCCCAGTATAAAAAAAAAAAAAATCCTCCTCCTGCCTCAGCCTCCTGAGTGCTGGGATTACAGGTGTGCGCCACCACGCCCGGCATCCCTTTGACATATATTATGCAAATACATTTTTAAAATTTTCAGTTTTAAAATTTACGTTTACTGAACACATGTATTTCAGATCTCTCTAAATCAAGTTTTACCTTTCTCAAACATCTCAAACATCTATTCTTGATAGAGTGTACATGTCTCTTTTGTTTTCTCTCTTCAATTTCTCTCTTTATTTCTCTATACAATATTAGTTTACTATTTTACTGTAATAAAAATGATAATAGGTTTGATTCTGGCATCTAAGAACTGTACACAATTCTGCTTAAATAAGTCTATAGAATAAGAAATAAAATTGATAGAAAAATAGGAAACCTATGGGACTAACAGAAGTTTTCGAAGTGTTCTACAAAATGGGAAATTGTAAAAATGGAAAGGTTGCTTATTATACATAGGTACACTTTCTGAAACTGTATGACATGATTTCACTTCTGAGTACTTTTTATTCTTCTATTGTCTTCTATTGAGCTATATTTCCTTTTAGTCTCTGTTAAAGGACTTTTTTTTTTTTTGGTACCGGGGATCGAACTCAGGCCCTTGTGCTTGTGAGGCAGGCACCCGAACCACTGAGCTAAATCCCCGACCCTAGTCTCTGTTAAAGGACTTTTACCCAATCTTATTCCCTCAAGCTTCTTTAGAACTGTCTCCTTACAGCATAACATTTACAGAGACAGGTTTCTATTTCTAGCTTTTAGTAAGTATAATGACTTGTGTTCTCCTAGACTTCCATTAGTCCTGCTAGTCAGAATTAGGTTTGGAAAAACAATCTTCTCATTGTTTCCTAAATACAAATCAGTAACCTAAATCATAACTAATTTTCAATTTCACTGATATTTTTGTCTCCTTAAATATTTTCTGCATAAAATCTTGATCTAATCATTAAGTCACCAGGTGAATATATTCTTTCAATTCCTGTGAAGCACATATACCTATCATTTAACTGATCTTAGTAACTTCAGAAAGATCAAAATTGTTTTCTAATTAACACTGTCTGATAATCAACCACCATTCATCATGTTATTTCTCTTCTCAAGGAGAATCAGACATACAGGGTTAAGGTATAATTATCATGTATCATAACAATGTCAACGTGGGAACCAAATTCTTAATTTAGTTCCTTTTTCTGAGTTTTCCATAGGTCTTGATAAAAGCTGCTAATTTCATTTCTGTCTCTAATATATACCAACTTCAAAATAAATTCTATATAATCAATAATCCATGGAAATAATTTCCAGTTTTAAAGGGTTTTCACTGATAATTTTTCCCAAGTGTAAGAGATTAAAAAGTGGATGCCACCCATGATAGGAAATCTGTGGCCTTTCTTAAATTCTAAAATGGCACATGTATAAAAATAACAAAGTATGTCTAAGAGAAATAATTATATATGAGACCTACTGTCTTAAACAAACCTAAACCATTAAGGTTGAATAAAAGTCAAGTTATTTATACTTTATTAAAACTCTAATATAAAATTACCATTAATCAGGAAAAAATCCTGTAAAATTTAATATTAATGTAGATCTTAGAAAGTGAAGATATTGGCTATATCCTTAATGATCAAGGAATCAGAGAAATAAGTTTTCAAAATGCTTAATAATCCAAATGGAAAGAATCACTTAGAAAAAAATAGGCTCTTTAGGATTATTTCTATGAATCATTGTGCTACGGTTTAAGTCTAAGCTATCCCCTCCAAATTCTCATGAATGTAGAAAGTAATTGGATGGCGAGTATATTCAGCAGTAGAGTCACCCACTACTGAGTTCACGGCTACTTGTGCTGTTAGGATGCGGGGACTGGGTGAAGGAGTCACTAGAGTGGACCTGGAAGGGCGGATCTTTCTCTCTGGCTCCTTCCTTCTCTCTGCTTCCTACCTGCCATGAGTTGAGCAGCTTTTCCTCTGCCATTCTGTTTTTGCCTTGGATACAGCTGACCACAGACTGAAACTGTGAGCCAAAGTAAACCTGTCCTCTCAAGTCGTGGGTGTTGGCATTGTCCCAGTGATGAGAAAATGACTAAGTGACACTGTCACCTAAAATTACTTAATAATACTTGGCAAATTTTTATAGTTAAGTAATTTGAAAATATCCAAATTAAAAAAAAATGGTTAAAATGGCTTTTTCCCCCTTTTCTCTTTGCGGTACTGGGGATCGAACTCAGGACCTCTTGCTTGTGAGGCAGGTGTGGTGCCACTGAGTTAAATCCCTGGCCCTCAAATGACTTTTTGATTCATGTATTTATTTGAAAATTTACTTTTTTTTTTTTTTTACTTTTTTCTTGATTGGCTTCTATATAATCAGATTCTGTGCTAAACTTTTTATGAAGATTAAATACTGGCTAGAAAATTAACAGCAAGAAAAGACCAAAACTATCTTGGTTAAAGAAAAACAAAGGGCGGGGGGAGAAAAACAAAGGAGAGTATTTCTTATAATTCATCTCATAATTTATAATCTCTTTAAAAAGTACACAATCTTCTCCAAACTGTGATTTGAACTCTATGCCTGCACTTATTCTCTAATAATTAAAATCTATTGTTTTATATTTTTAGATTATAGCCATGTATATATGCGAATGTTACATTGCCACACTTTTTTTTTAAAGCTTGAGATAAAGTCTCATTAAGTTGCTAAGATGGCCAGGCTGGGCTTGAACCTGTGATCTTCCTGCCTCAGCCTTCCAGAGTGTTGGGGATTAAAGGGGTGCAACACCCAACTCTGGCACAGCTATACTTTTCTAACACATAAAATTGGCTGTAACTATTTTAACAAATAAAGGATGACATAAAACTCTAAGAAAGCATACTTCTACATTCTAATAATAAGGGCAGGTAGTAGTATTTAATAAAAAAACTTTTTATTTTGGTACCAGGCCTTGAACTCGGGAACCTTGCACTTGTGAGGCAGGTGCAGTGCCACTGAGCTAAATTCCCAACTTAAAAAAAAAAAACAAAAACAAAAAACCTATAAGAAATCTCCGTATTTAACAAAATCACTAGCAAAAGTAACTGCCATAAAAGTTACAAAAGTGACATGTAAAAAAATGGAGCACAACAAAAATAAAAAGTATGTGTTACAGAAATAAAATCCCAAGCATGTTGTAAACATGGAAAAGTCTAAAAGCAGTCTAAATCACACACCTCCTCATGCCAAAAGGGCACTACTACCATGAATCTCAAATGAATCTGAACAAGGTAGGTTTGTAGATGGAGGTTAAAACATAACTTGGGAGTATTTTGATCACTTACTCAGGCCTTTTGATCCCAAGTCGTCAGGGATCTCCTGTAGAGAGTAGTCCCCAGAGAGCAAGCAATAAAAAGATAATCAAAGAAAATAGTTGTCAGTAATGCATAAAATTGGTGCTACAGTAAGAGACAGTTCCAAGACCATTACAGGTATACACATCTTACAGAGCATTTTTAAAGATTTCTAAAAGTTGAGAATGAGCTACCAGATACATGTAATCTACAAAAGAATGAAAATTTTGGCTTTGTGACTGATTAGGGTAGACAGGCAAATTTTTAGGCCATTTCTTGCTATTTTAAAGTAAAATTCACATTGTCTATATCTAACAAAGAAATAGGATAAAACGGAATGATTCCAGATGAACTAGAATCAGACTGGCAATGCTATATCTAGAAATTAGGTATCTATGTTTTTCTTCTAAAATATTCTTTGAATGTATTACATTAAAAAAATCTATTTCAAATAATTTTATTTACTTCTTTATATGTTTAAGTTATAAGAATATAACTTGAAAATTCTTCAGGCGCCAGAGTTAAGACTGGCATATAGATTAATTTATACCTGTTAAGTTTCCTCCTGTTAAGACAATAGTAACCTGTTGCAGCTCTTGAAACTGTCTCCATGGTAACAACCAACTGCAGGGCAGTAGGTCCCTCTACATTTATCTTCAGTTGACCACTGGATCCACATACTTACGGTCAGCATCACTTGTTTCCTGCTCACTCTGGTCCTTGTTCTTGTAGAAGGGGAACTTTCGGGAAAAGAGGTTCTTTTTACGCTTGTCATTGAATGACTGCTGAAGAAGAGAAGGAGGGGCAAAACAAAGGGATGTCTACTGTCTGTGTGTACAAAGGCCCAGCCTAGTAGCTTTGTGGAAGCTGACTCCTATGACCACAGGGTGCAGTTTGTATGACTTTCACTTTATTCACATACACAGTGAATTTTGAATTCTGCATAAACTTTCCTAACATTTTGCAAATGAAAATATTTTTTAAATTTGGAGACTCTAATTCATTTACCTTAAAAAAATAAATGCTACTTGACAAAAAAGGTTAAGGAGCAGATCAGATCACTACTATAGCACAAACCAAGCTAATACTTGTTTTTAATGCATCCTTTTTTTTTCTAGAAAAACTTCCAAATAAAATACTACGAGTTCCACAGCAAGTTTTTCCCCCAAGAAGTGGGGACTGAACCCATGCCTCATATATGCTAGGTTACATCTGAGCTACAATCCCAGCCCTTGAACTGGCAATCTTTCTACCTCAGACTCCCAAGCAGCTGGGATTACAGTGCACCCCATATCTAGGTAGCGAAAATTTGCTGCTCAATAATTTGTTATGCATTAGTTAGCAATTTTAATTTTACTTTGTTCTAATGAGCTTTTTTCCTTTACCTTTTATTTGTGGCTACAAAAAGCTAACAGAAAAGCATTATAAAAAAAGTAAACCAAAATAATTATGAGAGAAAGTTGGTAATGCTGTTTTAGAACAATCTTCTTTTTTTGGGGGGTGGGTGGGGCGGGGTCAGACAAGTAAGTGCCTATGGCATGAATTAGAAAATGGTAAGAAACTATGAAGTTCATCAGGCATCCAGTCCAGGAAAAGTTTTATCATTGCTATCTCATTACAACTGATTTGTTTGTTTTCAAAGCTGCCCCATCAGTGTCTCAATATAAAAGAGAACCACATCCAAAGCACTGTCATCATCCTGCATGAAGTCTAGTGCTCACCAAGGCCACAAAGGTAATTAAGATTCTAAAAGTTTATACAAAAATCATTGCGAGGGAACTGGGCAGGTGATTTCCTATGTCTCACTGCACAGATGTTGGAAACAAATTATTTCCCTTCAATGACCCATTTGTGTGCATTCACAATTTGAAACCATGTAGCACTAAGAATGACAAGGCTCTTAAAGAGGAACAGCTTCTTTTGTAATTTCTCTGTCACAGCAAATAGCCCCACCTATCAGTGACAGTAGAAATTATTATTATTTTTTGGGAGAGTGGGAAAAATGCAAAGGCTAGAAAAATTTTCCCAAAATTTATATCAGTATAAAATTACAATTATTCTATTTTATTATTGTTAATTTTTTTACTATGCTTGACTTATGTATTACATGTTATTTAGGTAAGTAACTACAGGCAACACATTGTGTATCCACGGTCTCAGGCATCCACTGAGGGTTCTGGGACGCATGCTCCACAGGGAAGGGCAACTCCTGTGCCCCGTGTGGGAGCGTGTGGGTTCAGCCCTTAGTGCTAACCATGCAATGCCAGTGATTGAGGTGCTGAAGTAAAGTGACTTTTAGTTACAACTGTATGACTGAGAGGATTTATTTTGAAAAGGGTTTCTACAAAAATATTAAACTTTAATTTTTATCTTTCATATCAATAATTCAGGATTAGTCAATTCATAATTCATTACTAAGCAGACTGTCTTGACTTCAATCTTAACATCTGAAGGCTTTGAGGAACTAGATGACAGAACTTTAAGAAGTTAAAAATTCTGCTGATGAGAGAAGGCTCATGGAGAATCTGTTTGCAATTATTTTATAAACTGTCAAGTAGCATTATTTGAATAAAAATCTTTGCTTAAACTCCAATTTTAGAAGGGAGAAAGAGAAATTTTAAGTTTCAGTAGAGAAAAAATTATGGTAATCTAATTTAGGAAAGTTCTAAATATTTCCATTCATAGGAATTACTAGTTTTGAATTCAGTGATTTTTGATATCTAATAAAACTGATGGTATGTGTTTTATAAAATGTTATTTACTCGTCTTACTGCATATGTCGTGGTCAGAGTCAGTTTCACAGCACACAACCAAAAGAAACATGAAGTTTAAAATGTTTTGATTCTTGGTATCTTTGCAGTTAGCCAAAATGAGATACCATAAAGATATCAATACAGTTCAGAAAGAAATGCTTGTTAGTTAAGAAATGTATTAACTGTATTACATTTAATACTTCCAAGTGAAGAATTTGTTAAAAGTGAAAATAAAAACAGCACAAGCGAACAAGATAAAAATGTGTAGGGAAAATACAAAACTGAAGAGTTATGCTATCTCCAGTTTTTGCATATTTGCAATAAATATACCCTATCAATTTATTGTCATCAATGCCACATTGTAAGTGCAATAAACATAAAATATCACAAATTCACGATATATACATTAAGTAGCTAAATATATATATATATGATTTCAGTATGTAGTATTTAAAAATAGCTAAATGAATGTTAAAAATGTTAATGAAAAGCTGAAATGTTATGTCTGTTGTGAAAATTACCACAAATCACCATGTGAGGAAAAGCAAAGGAGGAATAGGACATAAAATGGTATTACAGGAAGAAATGCAGTTCTGTATCAATGGCAAGCGTAGTTTTACCCCACTCAGTTATCATGCATACTTTTGGTGCTGTGTTAGAACACAGTGATTTTATAAAGTTGGTTACAGTCAACGAACAAGACTGAGGTTTAAATATGTCGTTAATTCAGTTAACTTCTTATAGTACAAAAGAAAAGTTACAACATGCAACCTCTTCTTCAATTTGTTGATGATGCAGTGTACTGAAGTAATTTTAGAGACATACATAAAACAAGCACAAAAAGCACTGCACTTATTTCAAATCATGAGGATTTACTTGGAATTTTTCCTCTAATAAAAATTTCTATTTTACATATTGCTTCATACAATTCTGTATTTTCTGAAAGCTACAATTTAAAAGAATTTATTATTTCCAAAAAATTGAATATATTATACAATCTACACAGATTTAATTTCCTGGACCAAGGATCTTCTTTCTAAGTTTTAAACTTTTATGTTTAAGTGCTCAGTGGTATCAGAGAGGTACAGAGAGTAAACTTATTTGCTGAATGAATTTTCACATTCATTTCAAATACAATCAAAAGACCTATAAAATTATACTTTAGATTAAAAAAACAAAACAAAACAACATGAGACAAAACATAGCTGTGAAAAGTATTACACCAGAACATGTGGTCAGGCCTCTCTCAGCCCTTTATTTATTTATTTATTGGGGGTGTTTTGAGACAGGGTCTCACTATGTAGTTAAGACTGATCTGGAACTCACTATTTAGCCCAGGCTGGCCTCAAACTCACAGTGATCCTCCTGCCTCAGCCTCCGAAGTGCTGGGTAAACAGGCATGTGCCACCACACCTGGCTTCTTCAGGTTAACTTTTAGAAGATGCCACTGCAGGCAGTTCACGATAATCAGGAATTATGTATCAAGTACAACTGAGGCCAGAACTATCTTTCTCATGTCTTCAAACTCAAAATTTTTATTCAAGCAAAAAGAGAAGTACATGAAAACTAAAAACAGATCTAAAATATATATGAAGGAATTTAGATATGTTTCTTGGTCATCTATAAAACTGTCACCTTCTTTATTCCTGCCAAATAAAGATTCATGTTGATGCCAATATTTAAAACGTAAGAGTTTATTAAGAACACTTTCCAGAATTAAGGGCATATAAAACAAGGAAATGTCTATGAATTCACTTTCAACAACTTGAAAACTTACACTATGACTTAGTTAATATTTTGAGGTGACCTGTAACAGTCATTGATAATTCATTATAAAAATAATCCTGACCAAAAGTAGGTTGGTTGTTAAGAATATATCAAATGATAATGGTAATAATTTGGAAAGGTCTGTGAAATAGGTGCTTTAATTTAATAAATGCTTACTACTTCTGTAAAGCACAGAGTAAAAACTATTCATTTAATCCCTATGACAAAATCATTTTCACTTTAACACAACTCAAGCATTATGAGAAGGTCTATTATTTACAATTATTAACTTCTAGAAATAAGAGATTTCAAGTACTCACCCCTTTATCACCTCTGGCTTTGGAATTGAATTTTACTGTTTTTAACCGGGCTCGTTCTTTCTTCTCAACTCTGTCAAAGTACAGATAGTCACACATTTTTCTTTTTTTTTTTTTTGAGACAGGGTCTCACTATGTAGTTGAGACTGACCTGGAACTCACTATGTAGCCTAGGCTGGTCTCAAACTCACAGCGATCCTCCTGCCTCAGCCTCCCAAGTGCTGGGATTACAAGCATGCGCCACCACACCGGGCTACATACTTCTTATTTATTTCATGGTACTGGGGACTGAACCCAGGGACTTTGCACTGAGCTATCCAGTTAGTCCTTTATTTGAGGCAGGATCTTGCTAGGTCTCTAAACTGCCATGGCTGGGCCCAAACTTATCATCTTCCTGCCTCAGCTTTTTGAAGTTTTAGGATTATAGGTATGGACCACCATGCCTGCCTCAATAAGCAGCTTATTTATTTAGGTGCTGGGAATTAAACACAAGCCCTCATACATGCCACACACACATTCAACCAATGAGCTACATCCTTCGCTCCCAGAATTTCTTCTTGTTTTTTTTGAGACAGGGTCTTTGTAGTTCAGGCTGGCCTCTTCAATCACTATATAGCCCAGGCTGTCCTCAAACTTACGGTGATCCTGCTGCCTCAGCCTCCTGAATGCTGGGATTACAGGCCTGTGTTACCATGCTTGGTTTCTTTCCTTTTATTTTGAGATGAAATCTGTTACCCAGGCCGGTGTGGAACTCTTTTTTTTTTTTTTTTTTTTTGGTACTGAGGATCGAACTTGGGACCTTGCACTTGTGAGGCAGGCAGCAGAACCACTGAGCTAAAACCCTTGGCCTAAAACTCTTGATCTTCCTCCCTCAGTCTCTTGAACAGCTGTGCCTACAGTCACATGTCACCATGCTAGCCAAAATATTATTTTTTTTAAGTGAAATATATATATAGTCTTAGTAAAAGTGCCAGAACTGATACCTTTAAAATGGGCATCTTTATATTCTACAATCTTTAGAAGTCATCTAGGTTTACATCCTAAAATTAATTAGAATTGCAGGGAAAATAAAGGATTCATTGTATCATGAAATATAAAAACCATTTATGAAGTAGCAAAGTATAGTACATGTGATTATACTTACTTATAAAGTCCGTAATTATATTAAAAGCTTTGGGAGGCACTATTTCTGAGTTTAGTTATTTCCAGGTATTCCATGTTTTTAATTTTAAATATTAGTTAGGATAGAAGACAGATGCTAAAAATTAAGTGTGATAGAGAAAGCAAATGTGGCAAAATTGAAAGTTTAAAAAGTAGGTTGGAAATAAATTAAGCTTAACTCCAATGACATATGTAAGTATATACAGCAACTAGTTATAATATAAAAAATAAGAGTTTTAAAGTATTTTTGGAAGGCTACATAGGAACAGGTAACCTGCCTTATCCCCATGAAGGTGAAACAGATGCTTGGGAATAAGGATAAGTATGAGTTTTTTTTCAGAACTTTTGAATTTTGAACCCCACTAAAGTTCTAATATGCACTTAACTGTTCAAAATATGCAAGGAAATAAAATATAACACTAAAACCAATTTTCATGCAGAATATAATATCAATATGAATCTTGCAAATTTTCATCTGTTAGGATTTTATAAAATTCTCAGATTTCAATTTGTAATTATTTGTATATCACAGAAGAACCTACCAAAATAGTTTATGAATAAATGTATTTTCTTTATTATCAGCTACACTGTTTTACTGTAGGTACAGCAGAACCTTACAATGATGAACTTAAAACTCATGTTATTATTCCAGAGCAAGCCTGATAGTTCACGGCATGAATAATTCATAAGCCTGTCTGGGTGCTTACGGAATCAAGAATTTAGAAATCATAATTCTTCATGCTACTATTAGAAGAGTTCTAAGCAGGAGATAGTTCTAATTAAGGAAAAATAAATTTTGAATACATTTAAGAATAAAGTAGCATAGGGCTGGGGATTTAGCTCAGTGGTTCCGGCGCCTGCCTCACAAGCACAAGGACCTGAGTTCAATCCCCAGTACCAAAAAAAAAAAAAGTAGCATAATCAGTTGTGGTTTCATACTGTATTTGTGGGGGAAAAATTATTTCTGTAGTGCTATATTCATGAATTTTGGGACTGGCAGAGGTCTCAAGACTTACCTCTTGGATTATTTCTCTCTTTCACCAAAGTGAGTGGCATTTCTCACTGGCTATAGGCACACGTTTACCTCCTATACAATATGACAGGAGGTATCTAACAGACTCAGGAAGGTGCAGGGTAGTGTTTTTTTTTTTTCCCCTCACTGAGTTTATTGATACATTTTAGGTATACAGCACAGTTATGTTCATCATTGGGATCTTGTACCTTTACATGACAGGTCTTGGTTCTCAGGGTAGTGTTTTTGAACTTTAAACACAGCATATTTTATTCCAGAAAAAAGTGTGCTAAGGGGTTGGTTGTCTCAAAGGGGCTTTGCCATCCAATATGAGACCGCACAAAGTTGGATCTTGCTAGTATTTGGATCTAGCCAACAAACTATAAACCCCACAATCACATGACAAGTCCTTGCAATATTTAATACCACTCTTGGGCTGGCAGTGTAGCTCAGTGGTACAGCCCTGCCCAGCATGCATGAGGCCCTAGTTTTATTCTCAGCACCGCAAAAACAAAACAAAACAAAACAAGATACTACTTTCTTTGACAAATATATCTAGGTCAATAAATACTACATGAGTTGGTATATTTACCAATTACAGTGACTCCAACAAAATAAGTATAAATCAAATTCATTAAGAACTTGTTTAATGCATTATGAACTTGACCTCAACTGCATTAACTAGCTATAATAAACATCACAATTTTTGCTAGCCCTTTTAAAATTATTTAAAAAGTCCTTAAAAAAGGACTTTTAGGCAATGCCTTGGATAAATTAGACCTCATAAAGAAGCTATCTTGGGAGAATTATGAACTGACAGGTTTTTTTTTTTTTTTTTGGGTACCAGAGATCGAACTCGGGCCCTTGCACCTGTGAGGCAGGCACTGGAACCACTGAGCTAGATCCCCAGCCCTTGAACTGACATTTTAATACCTTTTTCGCAGACGTGGAGACAGTGAACATTTCTGAGACCTTATAAGGGTAAACTGAGATCATCCATTTCAAAATCAGCCTGCACTTAACCGCTTTTGCCACTAGATGGTAAATGCGCACAAATAAACCACTAAAATGAATGGCTAAAAAGTAAAGAGGAAGACTGCACCAATAGGTCTAAAATAAGAAAAAAGAGATGCGGAACACACCATTAAACATTACTAAAACAAACAAACACCCCTACATTTACCCTGATAAGTTAAATCTAAAGGAGTCAATGCATATAATAAGAAATTTAAGGCCTCCATAGGAAAATTACTGATACTTTTTTTCCTTCACTGGTATAGACACATGGCACAGTCACTTAAAATACACTCATTTTGCTTTTAGCAATTAGTAGGAGATTTAAAGAACTTTCTATTTGGAGACATCATATTTTCTAGTTGTGACATGGGTTATAGACATCTGCAAAGCACAATATAAGAAACAGCATAAAATAACTACTTCTGCATTTATTCAGCTGTACTGGTGTTTTAAAATTTATTTTTATTTTTTAAACTTAATTTGAGACAGGATCTTGAACCTTGTACACACTATGAAGTCCAAGCTGGCCTCAAATTCACAATGATCCTCCTGCCTCAGCCTCCCAGGTACTGGGATTATAGGGGTACACTACAACATCCAGCTAAAATTTATTAACTGTGCATTTATGAAGTACAGTATATAATTAGATGTCATATACACATATACTTCAATGGCATATACATATACACTATAAAATCACTACAATCAAGCTATCACCTTACAGTTATCTTTTTTTTTTTTTGGTGGGAGGTAAGTACTCTTCAGAACCTACCTTCTCAGCAAACTACAAGTACACTGTAGAATATTGTTACATATGGCTCACTATGCTAAACATTAGATTTCCTAAACCAACTCATCTTGCACAACTGAAAGTTTGCATCACTGACCAAAACCTTCCCATTCCTCCTCTCTCTAGATCCTAATAACAACCACTTGATTGCCTACTTCGGGTTTCGTATAAAAGTGAGATCACACAATGCCTATCTGTATGTGCCTGGCTAATGTCATTCAGAAGAAGGTCCTCTAGGTTCAGCTATATCACACAGAGTAAAAGAAATGTAAAGAAACAGCAATTACTTAGGTTGTTGATGTCCTACTTTCAAAAGTCAAGTTAAACATATTTACCTGCGTTTACTGGGAATCACTCCGACTTCCTCACTCTCACCATCGGGTGTGACTTGCCTGGCTTGCCACCATTCATCATCAGAGGCATTAATAACATGAAGGATATCTCCAAATTTGAAGTTTAGTCCTTGACTGGGAAGGCCACTGTCTTTAGTCTTGTCATAATCAAATAGGGCTCTAGACTCGGAAAAAAAAAGTCCATAATTGTTTGTTATGGTAGTATTCATCAATTTGAAATAAACATGGGATTCTGAAATGGTAGATAATTAAACAATGTACTATAGTGGGGAAATAATACTAAGGACAATTCTGTACTAAATAAGACAAAAATAACAAAAGTGATGTGTAATGGAAATGGTTTATTTATACGTTACCTATTTCTTATTTCTTTCAAAATTATGGAGGAAAAATATTTTTTGAGACAGGGTCTTGCTATGTAGTCTAGGCTGGCCTGAAATTCACAATCCTGCTGCAGCCTCCTAAGAGCTAGGATTTCAGTCATGTGCTATCATATCCAACTTGCCTTTTTTTTTTTTTTTTTTTTGGTTTATTTTTTGAGATGGGGTCAAATCCGGGCTGGCCTTGAATTTGTGGCAAATCTTCTACCTAAGCTGCTTTGGTGCTGGGATTACAGGTATGTACCACTATATCTGGCATTTCCTTTACTTTTTAAATGAGACCTCCAGAAAATTGAAAATGACCATGTGTTTCACAGTATGTTGGATGATGCCAACACATGTTTTGGAAACTGACTGCTGTAGGTTTGACTGCTGTGGCCTGACTTATTGGAGTTTTATTGTAGTTCTGTATTTGTCTATTTTGCTTTGGGCAGTTTTTGGTTCTCAGTCTTATTTGTCCAAAGGGGCTAATAACACTAAGTTGTACAGTTGTTCTGAGATTAAATCAGATTTGGTAAAGTGTGTAGGATAAATTTTAAAAATGCTTCTGGGTGTGGGGGTGCACACTTTTGCTCCAGCTTCTTGGAAGACTGAGGCAGGAGGAATTGGTAGCTATGGTTTTAAATGGGTGCCAGCCTCGACATTACAGACTCCATCTTGCAATAAAATCAACCAATACTAAGAACACACACACACACACACACACACACACACACACACACACACACTTTTTGTGGTACTGGGGGTACTATGCCACTGAGCAGTATCTTTTACCCCTTTTATTTTGTGAGGCAATGTCTTACTATGCTATCCCAGGTGGAACTTGAATTTGAGATCCTCCTGCCTCAGCCACACAAAGTGCTGGGATTACAGGCATACACCGCCACACCCAGCTGACAACCTGTATTACTGAGTTTCTAAAATGAAGGCAAATCTAGAGAGCTGCTCTAAAATAACAGAGAGCAAACATTAAGAGAGATTCTTAGCTAGGCACAGTGGTGTATGCCTATAATCTCAGTTACTTTGGAGGCTGAGGCAAGAGGGGCACAAGTTCCAGCCAGTCTGGGCAACTTATTCAAGACTAAATCTCAAAACAAAAGCAAGAGAGATATGGATACAGGTCAGACGTTCCCTGGGTTCAATCTTCAGTATGAGGAAAAAAATTCTTTTTGACCAAACACTTAGAAAAACAAACTCCATGGCAGATTTGTTTCATCAGTTAATTATTTCTTCCATTTGTTCACAAAACTAGAATTAACGGCATTTCCAGAATTAATATCAGTAACGAAAACTACAGATGACTTTATCAGCTGCTCAAATATTTAGGAAAAATAATTTATTAATTTGGCATTTGTAAAATGTTAATATTGAAAAATTTGATAAAAAGAAAATATTGTGTCCCATCAATTATGGAACAATATTTAAAAAAATTAAATTCTTAAGTTGAAATAAGCTTTCTCAAGAGTACAGCAAATGCCAGGTGTGGTGGCACATGCCTGAAATCCCAGCACTCAGGGGGCTGAGCCAGGAGGGTTGCTGTGAGTTTGAGGCCAGAATGGGCTATATAGGACATTCAAGGCCAGTCTGAATTGCATAGTGAGACAAAAAAACAAAGAAGAAAAAAAAAATGAGTATAGCAAAGGGCTGAGCCCTGGGTCTGAGCCCAAGCTCCACAAATAAGTCACAGGAAAGGATTCCAGCAATTACCTTTTTAATATAATTTACTCATTCTTTTATTATAATATGGCAATTGGAAACTAGTATATAAATCACACTTTTTTTTGTTAGCAGTGGAGATTGAACTCAAGGCCTTTGCACTGAACTACATCTGCCGCCATTCTTGTTTTTATTTTTAGACAGGGTCTTACTAACTCACTAAGATGCTCAGGTAGGCTCAAACTTGGTATCCTCCTGTTTCAGCCTTTCAAGAGTGGTGGGATTATAGGCATGTGTCACCATGCCTAGTTAATATTTATAAAAAAAAAACTCCATGGAATACATGAGTTGCCAATTATAAGAGCGTAACGAGTACTAGTCAATCTATCATGCAACTTACTAAGACCATATATAAAACATTCATCAGTAATTAAAGTTTCATTTATGTATTTTTCCCTGATCCTGCTCTCCTTGGACCAAGTATTAAGCACTACCAGAAGGTAACCATAATTTTGAATAGTGCTTATTATTTTTTTCTTGTTAGTTTGGTTTAATCACATCCCTATGATGACTCAAACAACATAATAATTTGTTTCAGAGCTTTCTAAAAAGGTACTACACTATAGTTAGCTTTTTGCGGCCTTTTTTGGGTTTTGTTTTGCTTTTGACTGTTGAAATTAAAGAACTGTAAGATTTCTGCTTAACTGTATTTATTTTTATTTTTTTGAGACAGGGTCTCATTATGTAATTGAGACTGACTGGAATTCACTATGTAGCTCAGGCTGGTCTCGAACTCACAATGATCCTCCTGCCTCAGCCTCCTGAATATTGGGATTATAGGCATGCCTGGTTAACTTTAACTATGATAGACTGGCTACATGTTTCTATTGCCTCTCCATCCTGAAACTCATTAAAATGACAATAAAAAGGAAACATAAAAAAGAAGACAACAAGAGAAAAGAGACTAACACATTTTCAGATGATGATAAGTAAACTTGGCAGACTGAGAGAAGCTGTCACTAGGTTGTCTTAAGAAAATGACACTGAAGCCAGGCATGATGGTGCATTCTGTAATCTCAGCCACTTGAGAGGCTGAAGCAGGAGGATTGCAAGTTCTTTTTTTTAATACCAGAAATCAAACTCAGGACCTTCCGATTGCCAGGTAGGCACTGCACCGCTGAACTAAATACCCAGCCCTAGGACAGCAAGTACTAAACCAGCCCAGGCAATTGAGTGAGACACTGTCTTAAAGTATAAAAATAAAAAGGCCTGGGGATATAACTCAATGAAAGGCTCTGGGTTCAACCCAGTACAATTAAAAAAACAAAACCCAAAAAAGCACAAAAGCAGAATTAGCAGATTTCTAAAGATGCTCAGGAGTTACAGGTGTACAGTACCAAGACAGGCAGGGATGTTACAGCACTGAAAACAGAAGGTGAAAGCACTGTGGAACTTGGTGGTAGTGGTGTACTGGGGGAGGTGGGAATGTGCAAGACAGAAGACAAATAGATAAAAAGAAAATCCACATGCTGACAATGTAAATTCTAGCAACCTAGCTAGAAGGAGATACTGCAGGAAGGAGATGAAAATTCCCTTCTAAAGTTACTGAATGACACCAAAGAAAGGAATACCATGAGGTGGGGTGTGTGTGTGAGCCTTTATCCCTCTCCCCTATTAGCTTCTAGTAAAATTCACTAGCTTCCTTCTGTTCATAAGAATAGAAAACAAGAGGGTCAGGGATTTAGCTCAGTGGCACAGCACCTGTCTGTCAAGCACAAAGTCCTGAGTTCAATCCCCAGTATCAAAACAAAACAAAACCAACAACAAAAACAAACAAACAAACAAGGGTAACTAAATGTTTAAAACTCACATATACAAATTAAAGAAAATAAACTAGAAAAAAAAAGGAATACAGAGAATACCTGAAACAGAATACTTCAGAGAAATGAGATGATATTATGTCCAAGAAATAAAAAGAACACAACAAAAAAGGAACAATAGCATAAGAAGGAGCTGTTGGTAAGTAATATAAGGTACCATCCCTCCCCCTAAACCTCAAATTCTCTACTGAGGAGAAAGCAGAATAAAGTCCTACCACCTATCTTTTTTACTAAAGGATGTCCTTTGGAAAAATGAAAGCAAACCAAGAAAGAATTTAGGAAATATTCTGATACCATAGATAGCAATATGAGGAAGAGAAGGATGAGGGAAGTGGGTCCCTGGGACCCAGTAAGGATCTGAAAGAAGAATTAAGCCCACAGGGAAAGTGAGGAGAGACTTCAATGAAGAAGATGCCAAGTGGTGCTTCCTCCTTGAGCCCTGACATTGTGTGGAAAGCATGGCTTGAAGCTACAGACATATGGTGACTACTGGTGACCCCACAGGCCTCCATGGAGAAATGAGCCAGTAAACGAAGCAGACTACAGTGCCTGGTGAGTTATTTGGGTTCAGATGTCCCACAGGACAGGGCAACTAGACAGTAGCTATCTTGGAGACAGGCTGAGCTCAGAATGCAGAGCCCCTGTGGGCTGGTTCCATCAGGGTGAAGGTAAAACCAAGTTCAAATCATCAAGAGGTCAAGGAGCCAAGTTCATGCCAGCAGGAGGCATACAGATTGTTGCAGGCTGAACAAATCTAGTTCCAGCCTCACAGACAGAAACAAGCCCGAGCTTCAGAACTGAAGGTGCAGGCTGAACAAATTGAGTTCTAGTCTCTCACAGACAGAAACAAGCCTGAGCTTCAGAAATAAAGATGCAGGCTGGCTGGGATTATATACTACCCTGGCATAAATCTACAGCTGGCTTGTTGGGATTAATCAATATGGATCTTCACTTTGCCCACTGTCTACCAGTGACAGCAGAGACATGCCTTGAAGTGGACATTTTTTTGTTTGTCCTTGTTTTTATGTGTGAGCATTGTTTCTAGTTTTTCTGTTGTTGTTCTGTTCTTATTCCTCCTCTTTTTCCTTCCTGTCTTCTTCACCAGTTTCCCAAATTTTGTGTAATCTCTTGTCCTCCAGCCTTGCTTCTAATGTCCTCTATTTCTCCAATTTTTCTTTCACCCAACTTCTTTTAAATTTTCAGCCTTAAGGGTAAAATTGCCATACTGCAGGCATATTTACTA